CCGGCCAATCACTGTCACTATATCCAACAAATCGGAAATTGTTAGATGATGAATAAAATAGGCCGAAATCAAGTGTACCTTTTATGTAACGGATAATTCTCTTGGCCGTTTTTAAGTGTGTTGTGGTTGGCTCCTCCATGAACCAACTCACTAGTCCAACTCTGAAAAGTATGTCTGGTTTTGTGCATGTTGAGTAACACAAACTTCCCACCAAACTCTTGAAATAGGTTGGATCCACTTTTTTTTCCACCATCAAGTGTTGACAATTTGACTCCGCATTCCACCGGCATGCTAATTGGTTTACAATTAGCCATGTTGAACCTTTTGAGAACTTCCTTTGCATAACCTTTTTGGGAGATAAAAATATCATCTTTATTTTGCTTCACATCAATTCCAAGATAGTATGACATGAGTCCAATGGCCGTCATCTCATATTCTCGAGCCATTGCTTTCTTGAATTCTTCGAACATTCGTGAGTTGGTGCCAGTGAAGATCAAATCATCTACGTACAAGCAAACAAGTAAAATATCTCCATTCTCCACTTTGGTGTAAAGGGCATGCTCATGAGGGCATTTAGTGAAATAATTTTCTTGAAGAAGAGGTTTATAATAATTTGTTTGTTCAGATACAGTTTACCTAAAGCAAATATTGGCAAGGATGTGGAACCATCAATTGAATGAGAAGGACTGTTTAGAGGCAGACCTTTTTGCTGCGTCTACAAACCTAGGCTACTTCCATCAGGAGAAGAGACACGTTTAAGTCGGAAATATTGAAATTAGCTTAACTTGAAAGTGATAAATCCTGAAATTTTAAGATTAGGGTACTGGAGTTTTGTGGATGTAAGCAATTTAGAAGTTTGGGTGTCAGGTTAAATTCAATGAGGATCTGGTAAAGGTTAGGTATAGCAGTAGAATGAGGGTAGTAGGCTTAAAGTTGAAATCAAATAAAATAGGAGATGAAAGAATGTAGAAGATGTCATTTCTTGAATTTGTATTTCCTTAGGCATCAAGCCTGGCATGGGATTTCATCAAAATATCCTTGAACAGCAAAATAGTTATAATAGCTGTCTAAATTTGTTATTCACTTAATGCAAAGGCAAATATGTAGATTTCTTAGTGCTCTCTGTTTCAATAGGATTTGGAGTCCAACAATAATGCACAAAATAGAGTTTGGAAACTCTAATTGGTAAAAGGTTCATACACAATTCTTTATTTTTGTTTTGGGGTACAACCTCCCCTGCAATTGCCAAGGAACAGACTTCAGCCTAGAAAGTTATTGAGGCAAACTATGAATGATGTGCAACAAATGAAGGCCACTGTAGCATATGGTTTTCAATGGGTTGCATCTGGTCCAAATCTGGTTAAATTCAAATAGTACTTTGATGATTAAAAGATCTCAGTTCTAATATTTTCCAATTCTGTCCTGGCTGTTTTTTATTAATTCTTTCCATGTGCAGATTCTGCAGATGATTGTTTTTCGTGCTCAAGATATGGCTCGCCCTTTGAGAACTCTGAGTACGAAGGAGGTAATTGACTAGAAACTGTTGGCCCATACTCTCCTTTCTCCCTCTTCTTTGACCACAATAAAAGTTCAGATTATATGGCTTCCTGTGAAGTTAAGAGAAAAAATACTGGCTAACAGAAACAGGGCAATCAAGGCCATAAGGCAAAAGAGATATAAGCCATGCTGTCCCTTTTAGTGTTGTCTGATATTCTTATACATTCTAGGTACTCATAGGGCTAATTGGTCTCTTAACATAGTGATAATTTTGGGTATGGTGCTAAGTTTCATATGTAATTGCTCATCACCCAAACAGGAAGTAAATATTAAATGTAATGGTGGTACCAAACTATCATTGATATGGGGTATCACCATCCAATTACAAACAAACTACTAGGACTGGAAACTCCACTAATCCTATATGGTAGTTATTGGTGGTTATGAAATTTGGTGGGATTCACTAGTCCTACAAGTTTGTTTTTAATTGGTTGGTGATACCAGGTGTCAGGTTATAAAATTTGGTACAATCCACTAGTCCTACATGTTTGTCTATAATTACTTGTTAATATCACGTGTTGATTACGTTGCAATTGTAGCACCATTACAATTGAATATTTTCTCCAAAACAAGGGTGCTTTACGATACCAATTAATTTTATTTGAAACTGGGTGCGCATCCCCAAATTATTCTATTGTTGCTCTCTCGATGGTACTGACCTTTGGCTATCTCTGTGATCTGAAAACTTACAAATGTGATAAGCCATGTGGTGGAGAAAACAATGTTAGAAAAACTGAAGTCATTTTTCTTAAACATAGCCTTACTGGTGAAACTTGTTTTTCCGTCCAAATTCCAGGTTCTATTTGCATGATTGCTATTGTTGCAGTTGCTGCAAAGAGTGCCATCTTTGCAAGTCCAATGATACCCAAGTAACCTTCACTAGATAAGAACCCATCAAGCAGATGGGGAAAAGATTTTCATCTAGTATCTGCTCTATTATCTCAACCCCAATTATCTCTGCACCTGTCAATGGCTGGTTAACTTCTCAAGAAGCGCCTGTTCTAAATCATGAACGGATTTAACGTTTCTGATGCAGTTTACTCCAGCCTTTGAACATAGTTATCAGGAACAGCATCATGATCCCAGAAGCTTTACATTTTATCTCGTTCTACCTCTCATTTTCTAGTCCTTTTCTTTTCATTAAAAAGAATGTTAATCTTAGTTGTCCCACCTTTTGTCTTTATGATAGCTTTCCCTACCTGCTGGTTGTGACTTACATAGCAGATGATGAGACTTAATTGTACATGTGTCTCTTAAAGGGTAGAGAAAAATATATGCCTTTGTTAATGCTTTTTTTTTTTTTCCCACTGTTTTTATCTCTATTTTTTTCTGAGACATTAAGGGCTTGATTGGGTTCTGATGTAATATAGTATTTGCTGTGTGAATGTTCTGTGATGGTGATTAATTCTCCATCTTTTGCATCGTGGTCATTTCTCTAATATTTAATTTTTGCATTTGAGAGTTCACTTAGTTTACCTGTACTTTGATTTGCAGTTTCGACACTTCGCGAATAAGGTTGGGAACCTTGAACGCCCATTTCTGAAAGAATTTTTTCCCCGATGGGTGGGATCTTGTGGCTGTCCAGTTCTACAGTATGGTTCATGCTGTCTTTTCAGTATATTTTGTGTTTTGGAACCGTGACATCATTGTACTGACATCATTTTTTTAAATTTTGGTTGTTTTTGGGGGGCTTTCTAAGGATGGGATTTTCCTATAACAAACGAAAAAATATGGTCGAATTGGCTGTCTTGCGAGCATGTACTGCCACACCAGATGTCAGCGCGGGTGTTCCCAATGGTAATCCTGATTCCGGAAACGGTGAAGGAGATGTTGGATGGCCCGGAATGATGAGCATACGGGTGCATGAACTTGATGGCATGTATGATCATCCAATTCTACCAATGGCTGGAGAAACTTGGCAGCTGCTTGAGATACAGTGCCATTCAAAGCTAGCTGCAAAACGCTTCCCAAAGCCAAAAAAGGGTTCTAAACCTGATGGCTCTGATGATAATGGTGATGCTGTATCTACTCTAGATATGCGCTCCAAGTAAGTATCAAATATATTTACTTTTTGTGACCTTCTTCCCTGGATCGGAGGTTAATGGAGTTTATTTTGTATTCTTTTTATCTAATGTGTGGTGATATGTCAATTTGCAGTTCTGATTCGCCCCTGTTATGGCTCAGGGCAGATCCAGAAATGGAGTATCTTGCTGAAATTCATTTTAATCAACCTGTGCAGATGTGGGTCAGTATGAGCCTCTTGTTGTTTCTCATTAGAATTTATTGTGATTGTGCTTAAACAATGTCAAGCTTATGTCTATTTCTATTGCATCCGTGGATATTCTACATCAGTGGGAAAGGATTACTGTTGAACTGTTCAGTCATCTGAACACTTCATAATAATTGTTGCGCAGTCAATCACTTTACTTCTGCCGTTGCAACCTTTTCATTTTTTTGCAATTCTTCTGTTGTATGCATTTATTTGGTACATTGAGGGGATTTTTTTTTGGGGGGTGGGTGGGTGGTGGACTACTTTGAGGCTACAATTTTCTGACACAGACACAAAGACAGACATCAGTGTTGACGTGAACAATGAGCTTCCAATGCAAAGATCTCCTAATATTATATATACATGAATATATAGTTTACTTTAGTGTATGAATAGACCCATGACATACTTTTGGATAAATTATTACAGCAATGGTTAGTTTATTACTTTGGAAAAAAGTTGATTTTCAAAGAATTAATGTGTTTGCAGATCTCATGCTATGGTCTTTATGAAATGCTTGAAGAATTGAGATATCTCAAGAAATCATGTCAGTAAAAAGGGTTTGCCGACCAACTTTTTTTTTGGAAACTTAGTCAATCCCCTCCCCTTGTCATCCGTCTCCTGAAAGCATCCATAAAGATTTTGACCTCTTTCCACCGAATTCTAAACCCTTCTTTGGGAAACTGGATATTTGAGCTATTGATTGCCCATAACGTCTTGATCCCTACCTCTCTTGCTTACAGAAGTTTGATAAAGAGCCAGGAAGCAGTTCTTGAAAAAATGATTGCCACGTTGAGTAAAAATGCAAAATCTCACCCTCCTTTCATCACCCACCTCAAGGAATCATACTTCGAAAACTCACCCTAACGATAGAAATTTTTTTCCACAATCCCCACACCATACAGCACAAGGATTTAATTGTTGCACTAACCGGATTTGTTGGAGCCAAACCTTCCTTGTACATGCCTCCTCCTAAGTTTCCCTCCTCCTTAGCATATCTTCATAACCACCTGCCTAACATGCCTTGATCAAGAATGCCAAGCCTCTGAGTGCTTGGTCAAACCTGAGCTTTTCTTGATGTTTGAAGTCATATCCACAGCTTTCCCAAAAAATTAGATCCCAAGTTTATAAAACAAGATGCATATATCTTTCACTCACATGTTTTAGCTTGTTGCTTTTGATGTTTGATTCTTGAAGGGAGTGATAGTTTTCTGCACCATTTCAACGGTAGGTAGTGCATGGATGAGAAGAACTACAACTAGGATGCCTTTTGTCTCTGTATTGCAGTTGTATGATTTGATTGCATCAGCTGTATTTTTGTGTATAACCTCTTTTTGCTTTATTTGATTTCTTGTAGTATACTTTCATCATATTGATAAGTGTGGATACATACTCAGATAAATCAATTGGAGAAGGACAGAGACGTTGTTGCTCAGTCACATGCAATACAGATATTAGAAGCGCTGCCACAGCTTTCATTCTCTGTTGTTAATGCTTTGAATAATTTCCTCAGTGACTCCAAGGTAGCTCTATCAATCTTGTTTCGAAAAAATGCAATGGTTCTCACCTATGAAGCACGGATACTTTATCAATGTCGACGTACCCATATTGGATACGATACTCGAGAATACATATCGGATACGCGTCATACGTATCTAATAATTAATAAAATATGTGAATACTTTGCGGATACTTCTATCTATGGAGAAATTTTTTAACTTTAATCTAATCTCTTTTTGAGTTCACTTACAATACAAAATATCAACAAAATTCTATTTGATTTTGAAGACACAAGTGTTTTTTAAAGTATTATCTACTATAATACGTCAGTTACACTATAATCTTAAAGTGTTTTTTTAAAACATCAACAAAGTGGTTTTTTAAACTGTTTTTTAAAAAAATGAGTCAATTACACTATAATCTTATAAACAAATACTTGTAAACAAACCAACTAGTTAAATGTTGGTTTCCATTAATTGGTCACGTTCACTTTATGAATATATCATAATGAGTCGATATTTCGTCTTTTTTAAGGTGAAAATTATAAATTTTGCTTACTATTGTTAAATAATTGTTAAACAATAGTATTTTTAGTCGTTAAATAATAGTAAAATATAAAATATATTTTATTGTGAACGCATCCTAATTGTATCCGTATTGTGCTCATATTCCGTTTCTGTATCCGTATAGTATCCGTGCTTCCTAGGTTCCCACGTGGTTTGTGAGTGTCAATTCTGATATTCCTTTGGTATTGTCAAGGCCTTCTGGAGAGTTCGAATTGAGGCGGCATTTGCATTGGCTAATACTGCATCTGAGGTGCTATGGGCTTATAAGCAATTTCTTCCAATCATACAGAGTTTTCAAATGTTGCACAGTGCAGATCTTATGAGAGCATGCATACACACATACACACACTCACTCTCTCCAAGAAACCCATATGAGATTTTCATAAACAAGCAAGTATACATTCAGCTGTTTTTCTTGTTTTGCATACATTTTATTGATATTAATGTTTTTGACATTGTGTTCTTTCAATTAGGAAACTGATTGGGCGGGTTTATTCCATCTGGTTAAGTTTTATAAAAGTCGGAGATTTGATGCGAATATTGGACTTCCCAAGTGAGCTTCTTGAATTTCATAGTGCCAATTTTGCCAAATTTCATTTGACGTACTAAGTCACATGAATTCTTCCTTTTTCAGGCCAAATGACTTTCATGATTTCCCAGAGTATTTTGTACTTGAGGTAATGCAATGAGGTAGGCTGTGTATTGTGTCATATATGATCACAATAGTTGATTTATTCTTTCCTCTCGTGTTGAACTTTTTCTGAAGAACATTAGAAATTCTTTGTTGTGCTTTCCCCTTGCATCCTTGAGGTTTCAATGGTGACTATGGGGTGCAAAATAGGTGGATTGCTGTTTTTCATACTCATCAGCACCTGGCCTTTACAACAAAGGAAAATATTCCAAAATCCAACTTGGATGTTGTAATTTAGCTCTATTAGGTATTGTGATAAAGTTCTTTGATTTGTCTTTCAACCTTTCATTGGTGAGCATTCAAAGTAACTGTAGGTTACATAGTAAGGGTTGCTCTTTTTCATGCTCATGAACCTGCCAACTTGGATGATTGAGAGTAGTAGATTTTGACTTTTGACTACTAAGAACAGCCTCCACCTAACCAAGGCCACATGTACAGACACAAAAACCTTTTTGGCCTATCCATCTACAAATAAAAGAAAAAGGCCTGATTCCCTCAATAGAGACTGCATTTATGCAATGGACTGCATTTTCATCCCAAGTTCAGCAAATCTGGGAATTGACAAATACCTTCGACTCCTGAAACTTCATGATGCATAGTGGAATTGTATTTCATATTAATGCAAATGCATTATAGAATAAAAAATGTAGTAACCTAAATTTATTGGACAAGGCCTAGACTGTGTTTGTGGTTTAGGATTCCGGTATCGGCTATCGACTCAAAGCCCATAACTACATCCAGCTTTTATATATTTTTTCAAAGTGCTAAACTACCCTTAGTATAGAAATAACACATAACATAACATTTTGATAGACATAGACATGTAGTAGGAAAAATATTAGGCCAAAATACAACTGTTCATAGAAAATGAGATACAATAATGTTTGTGAAGTCCTCTTTTTTTTTTTTTTTGGGGG